TCGACAGCTACTTGAACCTAATCCAGACCACCGGTTCTCTCACTTGACTGACATTCAGAATTTCCCTTACATGAGTGACATGAACTGGGATGCAGTGCTGCAGAAGAGGCTCGTCCCCAGCTTCGTTCCAACTGTAAGTCAAGCTTAATGAGCCCTAAGAGTTCCCACACTCTGTCCACATTCCAAGTCCACCCAGGGTCTCATTTGGTGATGACACCAGTACTGTGAAAATGTCCCAACACAGAGGAGAAAACAGAGAGATACAGGGGGTAGGTTGGCGACTAAAAATCACACAACCGGCAAGAAGCTAAACTGGGATTCTAATCTAGGGATGTTGATGTCTGGGCTTCTAGGTTTTAACCATGTTTTGTGCTGTAAGAGGTTCTAGTCTCCCAAATAGTTATCTCCAGAAATATGCTGGTTGAAAAGAACAATACTTTTTTTTCCTTCTTGCAAGAAAGTGATCTTTGATGTCCACAGAAATCTGTGAGTTGGTCAGTGGGAAACTTCAACCCCAGAATCATTCCTTTTCTTTTCTAAGTTTTATTGTACTGATCGAGTACCCAAACAAGGGACATTGTGTCCCACTGCACACTGCTGGATAAAACTTAGGTGAGGGCCCTACTGAGGCTCCTCTCTCCTCTGCCTGGGATTTGTGTTATACCACTGGACAAGGAACACTGGCAAGAATGATGAGCTCCTGTGGAGACTTGAGTTTTCTGTTCAAGTCCAAGCGAGACACTTCTTCTGGGGACATGGCCACATGGATGTTTCAGTGAACAGCTGGATAAGGTGCCAATTAGTGTGTCAAATGAAAGCCCTGTGGAAGGAAGGAGAGAGCGGTGTGGTGACATTCCAGGGTCTAAGTGTCTACCTAAGTGAGTGACAGGAAAGTGGGAAGAGGTTTGTACTTGTGTGCACGGCTGATGCAGGACTATGGGGGAGCCATACAAACTTCCTTCTGTTAGCCACTCCTGACTCCTGGGAGAAGTGCCACCATATAGATCTTGGGTCTGTCTGTGAATCTGACTCATTTGGAGAACTTACCAAGTGGCAAATTCTTGGCCTTATGTTCTGAAATCCTGATGTTGAAATTTGGTTGGTGACCTTGGAAGCTGAACAAGCAATGGCCATGATTCTGGTCTATGCAGTTATTGGAACAAACTGAGAAACCCAGAAGCTCAAACCTTAGAAGTATTATTTTAATATGGTCTCCTTCATTACTCACTGAGGGATAGCTAGAAGTTTGTAAAAAATAAACAAGCTATACAATCAAAGAATATTAAAGACAAATAGTGGCAGGAAAGGCTATAAAACCTCAGTGGGACCCAAGTTATTAAGCTTGGACTGCTCCCGTTAGGACTAGGTATTGATCTCTGCGTTAGGCTGTTTTAGGAACGATGCAAGGATCTGAGGACTGAGTCATGCTTTCTTCTTTACAGAAAGGCAGGCTCAACTGTGACCCCACTTTTGAACTGGAAGAAATGATTCTGGAGTCCAAACCTCTTCACAAGAAAAAGAAGCGCCTCGCAAAAAAGGAGAAGGAGATGAGAAAATGTGACTCCTCTCAGGTAGGTGCCCCACCCCCACCCCACAAGCTCAGGGAAGTGCAGTTCATCCCAGAGCTGCCGCCATGGGGAGGTCATCTCAGAAGCCTGCGTTTATCTTATGTGATGAGGGAGGCACCACTCCCATGGCCCCTAGGCTGTCTGCCCCTCCTTGATGACCAGCAGCAAGCAGAACACAGGGCCCCAGGATTTCAAGGACGTCATCGTAGTTTCCCATCATGTGTTTTGAAAGCTGCGGTACAGGCAGCTGAAGGTGCATGTACAGGACTCCCTGACAGGGGCACATAGGGTGGGTTAACCACTGCTGCATTAGTGGTGAAATTGTAACCAACCTGTTATTACTAGTGTAATAACTTTCCGATGGAAGTTGAAAGTGTTTATATATATATATATGTGTGTGTGTGTGTGTGTGTGTGTGTGTGTGTGTGTGTGTGTGTGTATATGTATATATATATATTCCAGAATTCCAAAATCACTGTACCTAGTTCTGATAGAACAATGGCCCTGGTAGAGGGATTCCTCTCCTGCCATGCTCCCAGAATCTGTTCCCCATCTGGAAACAGGACTGCTTCGACCCAGGTTGCTCGGTGAATATAGGTTGTTGGCTATTTGGGGTTCCTGTGTGCCAGCTAAGCATGCCTCTGTTTCTTTGCTATGTTCGCCTTGAAGACATGCCTTCTTCAAGAGCACCTCGATGCTGTCCAGAAGGAATTTATAATTTTCAACAGAGAAAAGTGAGTAACAGTGGGGTGCAGACCAGCGACTTGAAATGACGCTATTTAGGCAGATTTTATTTGCAGAGATTTGATATATTTTTTAAGAATTTTTGTTTTTCTGATTATAAAAGTGATGCAAATCTAGGATACCAGTTTTGAAATTTCTGGAGCCTTTTTTCTGTCAGTGTTTTTTTTTTTTTTTTTAAACTGATAAATAACCCTAGGGTTGTAGTTTTGCTTATGAGAACTGGAATGTGAACACAAGGACTTTTTAAAAGGTTTTTAACATTTTGGAGGACAGGGGCTAGTCATTGGACAAGTTGTAGGAGTCATTTCCCTCCTTCCACCTGTGGCTCCCAGGGATTACTCTCAGGCCTGTTGGTAAGTGTCTCTACCCACTGAGCCATCTTGCCAGCCCAACATAATGATTTTTAAAGGTTTTCTTAGCTCATACCTCTCTATAAATTGAGGCAACACTGAATGGACTCAGCAGGTCGCATTTATGTATTTATTCATTTGTATTTGTAACAGCAATGGGTAAAGAGGAACAGGCAGTGAATTTGGGAGGGGGCTGAGTCAGACATAAGAGGAGTGAAAGGGGAAAGGGGGTGATAAATGATGGAATTGTATTTTAATTGTTTTAAAAGAGTAAAAAAATTATTGGATTATATGCTATCATTTAAAAAACTTAAATTCATTTTTCCTTTGAATGAACAACTCTCTCTCTCTCTCTCTCTCTCTCTCTCTCTCTCTCTCTCTCCTTCTTTAAGGGTAAAAAGAGACTTTAATCAAAGACAAGCAAACCTAGCCTCGGAACAAACCAAAAACAACGCAGAAGAGGAGGATGGCGAGAATAACAACCTGTGAGGTTTCCTCATTTTGGGGTGGGGGACAGTTCTCCGCACCTGGCCAGAAACTTCTGATTATCCATCCAGAAGAGCTAAGGGCAGTCATTACCACTTCACACCTCATGACTTACAGAACGGGAAAGAACACCTTCCGAAGCTGGCAACACTCTGCAGTGAAGAGAGCCCTGGTTCTGAGCTCCCTCAGATCTGATCTCACCACTAGTGAACTCTGTGACCTTGAGCAATTTCTTTAACTACTTCCTCTGTTTCTGTTCACTGCTGGAAAGGTAGAGCGCCATTTCCGATGAGCTAGCCTTTAGTCTGCTAATGCCACAGTTCTTGTTCCAAACAGGCTTTATTTTTATTTTTAAATGAATATTTGAAGGTAGGTTTATTTTTTTTTCATTCTTTTTGATGACGTTGTAAAAATGGACACTGTATACAGTGAGCCTCGTCAGGGCTAAAGAATATCACAGAGAGGCTAGAATTCCAAGGCCTGATTAGACAGGAATAGGATATTCCATCAGAAACAAGTACATTGGTCAGATTAGGAGTAACAGCGACCCATAGGCCCTTGCAGCGGGGAGCTGTGTTGGCACGGGATCTGTTAGCAAGGGTCTGCTGTGCACATGGCCTCTCAACTTCTCTTCAGCGATATGGCCTTGGTCCGTTGAACTTGGTACTGATGGAAGGAGTCACATGCAGCAATTTAGCAAATGCTGCAAGCTGGGATTCTTTCAGCATGGCAGTGGTGAAATACTGAATTCCATTTGCCATTCTCTGGTATGCCTGCCACTTAAAGGCTGATTTTCCTCCGGAATGGCAGAGACCTGCTTCTGGGGAGGATTAACAAGAGCGCTGCCCCAGTGAAGGCTTTCAACGGATCAGTGAAGCTACACCTTACAGGAGACTTATCTTGCGTGTTAACACGGGAAGCTGGAGAAAGTTTCCCGTGAGAAACTCCTAACTCCAGGTAGCACAAGGCAAGGAAAACTTAGGCAGTCCATTGCTTCTCTGTCATGAAACTTGTTACCTTTCGTTTGGTCCTTTATTTTTCATATCAGTCACCTAACATATGGAACAATTTACACATGGCTACAGACTAGAATTACATTTAAAGCAACAGGATGTGTACAGATCCCAGAGGTCAAATTCAGGGATACTGATGCCTCTACGTTATACCACTGTGAGATGACTGGCAAGAATTGCCTAGCTCCTTACAATATCACTGATGTCTCACTCTTTCCTGTCTCTATACTTCAATTGTGTGCAAAGTGTATTCATGTAAATGTGCAGGTGATGTAACACCACTGTGCTGACGCCAATGAAATCTAGAACCTTTTTGGGTGCCCTCCACTGGCATCGCTGGGTAGAACGAGGAAGTAGGTGGGCTTTACAAAGCGTTGTTTTCAACTCCTGGAAACTGAGGCCATCTAGTGGTCACCATGATGACAGCAAGCTGCCGTTTGGGGGCAGGCAGACAGGTGGAAATTGACGGTAGACACTGTGGCAAGTTAATCTGTGTAGAAAAGCAAGAGCTGAATGTAAGACCAGCATTGATGGTTCACCAGAGTTTTTGGCATAGCTGTGTGATAGTGCCTCTCTACTAAGAGCAGCCATATTTTTTTAAAGAATCAAAAACCGCCTCTTTTATCCAACTCCTGTCTCTGAAGTTCTCGTGTGTCACTTGTGATATTTTTGGTTATGTTTAGTCACTGTTTAATTCAAAGCACTTGCCCTGACTTCCAGGCAGGTGAATGGGTCAAACATAGTAACCCCGAGGTGACTGGATTCTGCTCCAGGCTGGCACCTCGACAAGTGTCAGGGACCACCCACACACACTCCAGCTTCTGCCTTTTGTCTGTCTGTACTGAGGACCTAATGTACCATGGATTCACCCTCTTTCACCTGGCTCCTCCTTCTTCTGGATCTTGTCAGCATCCTCCAAAACATCAGCGCTCAGAAATGATTTCCAAAGGACAGCAGGGTCAGCAAGGTCTCCGCTGGGGATGATGAGGACTTGTGGACTGTACGCATCTTCAAACATTAAGGTGGGGGGTAGGATCCCATGCAATCTCTGAAGTTTGAATCTCTAGTTTTTATTTCCATTGAGCATCTTCCTGAGGACCACTGGCGTTTCTGAACCGGGGATGTGCTGGTTGTAGTTTAGTGTGGGAGTTGGGTAGATTTCTAGTGCCAGTCAGATGAGTGGCACACAGTGTGTTTGAAGTTAAAAAAAAAAGAAAAAAGAAAAAGAAAAACACAAAAACAAAAACCACATTGGGCTGGGTCTGTACCTCCGCAGTAGACTATAAGCATAGCATGCACGAAGGCCTGGGTTAGGTCCCCAGCACCAGGCGAAACAGAACCCCTGCATCTGGCTGTACAGAATAACTGACTCTCAGCACTGTCCACTGCTCTGCATTTTAAAGAAGAGACTTAAAAACAACAGAAACAAAACTTTCCCAATGTTCCTGGTGATTGCATCTTGGTTTTATTCCCTACTTTGAGCTAAATGTTAACGCCCCCCAGATGAAACATCCCCCCGATTATATTTCTGAGAAGAATTAGGGACTGAGAACGGCAGAAAACTGTGTGACTACTTCATCCTTTTTTCTGCTCCTTGCAGAATCCCTCCATGCAGTTTCCTCCCGTACTTTCCAGAGCATCTGAAAAGGCCTGAGGAAGGTTTGAAAACCGGAGTGTCCTGGCTGTGACACCACAGTGAGCTGCTGTCTCCAGGCATTCCCAGTGACCCAGAGTGGAGGGGTGGGACAGCCTACCCATTGGGCACCCCTGGCCATGACCCCTACTCCCTGGAAAGAAGTATCCTGCTAGGACCCAATGACCCCACAGCAGCCCTGGTGTTGGCTGAGATCATCTTTAGGACAGGAATGGATTTCAAGCAGCACAGAACATTGCTGAATTAACCACAATAATCTAATTAGTGGGGGTCTAGAAACGACTACTGCTATGGCTTTCCTAGTGGATGTGTGAATATGTAATTAGGAAGAAAGAGTGCTGATGCAGTTATTGAGAACCATGTTGCTGTTCCAGGTTGACAGGGATGCTGAACTTCAATGCTTCAGCTGCTTAGTGGGCAGGCATGGCTAGCCCTTTGCTCAGCGCCTCCGTATTCCTGTGTTTTGTCCACGTAAGAACCTACTTCTGTCCACTGCCGATTGCTATTCACCGTAAATTCAATGTCTCTGTCCAATGTTAGACACCGAGACTCCAGATTTCATTTTTCTGTGATGTTCTGAACTGGTGGCTGATTTAGAAGTCCCCAAATTATAAAAAAAAGAAAAAAGTGTGCTTCTGTTGAGCCATAGTGTATGTAATGTAAATGTGCCTGCACGGATTAAAATGTCTTCTGTAACAACATGCCCTTGGCCTTCCGTTGTCAGATGTGTATGTGTTTGGCCATTCCCAGGTCACCTCTCCTTACTTGCATTTCCATTGAGAAGAATGAGCCTTTAGCAGGGATAGTGTTGGAGATCTGTGCCTGTACATGTTAGTGAACTCACAGAGGGCGTGCCACCAGAATCCTGTCTTCTGCCCTTTACTGTGACCTGAGTTTTACAAACAGCCCATCTATGTCTCTTTTGAGATGGTCTCCACTCCTAAGGGTCATGTTCCTTTACTTATGCCATAGCCACGGGAGGATATTCCAAGGCCCATGATCTGAAGTAAAGGACAGCAGGCACGTTGAGAACTTTCAACTAACTTGTAGGCTCACAACAGCTCCACAGTCAGCAAACTTCAAGTTCCTGGGCTTGTCCTGAGTTAGTGGGCTCTGGAGTCCCGCATACCAGCTGCCCTGTTGCCCAGGCCATGCCAAGTGTCCAGTATGCTGTTCCCAGTATCAAGCTGAGCAAAGATCAGGATCCAGCACCCTAGATTCTGAAGAGAGCCAACCCTAGGTATGTGATCTCATTTTGCAGGTTGCTCTGGTACCTTTATTTCCCATCTCCTTGGGGTTTTGTTCCCTCTGTGATGGGCTGACATTAGGAGAGCTGATTCTCAAAAGTTCTTGGGAACCAGAATACCCTTGTTATTCTTATCCCTGTTCAGTGTTCTCATTCCTGACCTTGTCAAGCGTGACTCAGCTGCTGAACACTTCCAGACTCCATAGGTATGAAAGTTAGCCAGTGTGTTTCTGACATCAGTGTTTTTAAAAAGCTGTTTCATCCTTCCCAGAACACTCATCCCAACTAGGATCATTGTAGGTGCCAATGGCTCCTTTTAAAGCCACCCAAGTCTTTAATAGGCTTAGCTATTCCTTGGTCATGAAAAGGGAGACATGTTTCACCAGTCTTAAGGGTGACCAAACTTATCCCCTTTGGCTGGGAATATTGAGGGAATCCCTTTTTGGGGTACACTAGGAAGGTAAAGTGAAAGCCTGGAGATGCCAATGACTGGTGTTGCCTCCACACGGAATGAGCTTTATGGAGACAGAAGCACCTCTTCAGGAAGGCTGGACTGAGACAGAAAGCTGCCAGGGTTCACCACTTACATTTAGCAATACCGTGTCTCACGATTCTGAGTTCTTCAGATATCCTAAAACCCCACTTCTAGTGGCCCAGTGTACACCTCGCCACTGAATGCCCTACATAAAGGAGAACTGGATCCAGGAATGTTTCCCAACACAGGGAGAGATGCGATGGAGGTCCAGTAGCCAGAATCATCTGAGAGCCCTGAATTGGACTTTATTTCCTTGTTGTTTGGGGCATGGGGGCTGTTTCTCTTTTTACCATGCTGAGGATCTAACCAAGGGCCCTCTGCCTGCTGGCTAAACAAATGCTCTACTCCTAAGATGCATCCCCAAGCCTAGACAACATTAAAAGGCTCGTTATACTAATCAGAACCTTCACTTCTAATATGCACAGGGAAGCTCCCAGAAGAGTGGGCATAGCCAACAGTTTTCTTTTCAGACACTCATTGGACTGTTTGAGATCAACTTGCTGAAGAAAAAAAAATGTCATGGATTTACTTGGGGGTTTTTCCCTCCAAGTCCAGGCTTTTGAAAATAAGTAGATCATGTTTACAGAACAGCATAGTAACAAGGTTTGGCTGAAGACAGAAACACACCAAAGTACAATAAAATAAAACCTTTTAAAGTTACGTCTTAGAGTCAGCTAGACTTATCACCCAATATATGTTTGTTTTTGTTTTTTTCACACTAAGAATGAATGTGATTGAAAACTGTATGCAGTTGTTGTCAGGTCTGCTGTTTATCTACCAACTGTGTTTCTTATGGGGTTTCTTTCTCTTTGCCTTGTGGGTTTTTTAATGTGGGGTGTGTGTGTGTGTGTGTGTGTGTGTGTGTGTGTGTGTGTGTGTGTGTGTGTGTTAAACATGTACATTTGTATGTGGCTGTGCATCTATGTGCATGGTCCCCAAGGCCAGGGGAGGACATCGGCTGTCTTGCTTTATCACTTTCTTCCATGGAAACAAGGTCTCTCACTGGACCTGGAGTCAGTAAACCCAGCTATCCTCCTGTCTCTATCCCACCTCATCACTGGGGTTACAGGCATGCATGGCGGTCATATCCGGCTTTTTATGTGGATGCTGGGATTGGAACTCAGATCCTTGTTCTTACACAGCAAGCACTCTTACCCACTGAATCATTTTCCCAGTCTCCCCGAGATTCAACACAGTAGGTGAAATGGCATTCCATGCACAAAAGACTGGAGAACGATGCTGGTAATTTTATAATTATTTTAATAACCAGGTTTACATTAACAGTCACTTGATGAGCTTTTTTTTTTTCTTTAATCTCAGCTAACTCAATACACAGTTTTCTTCACGGTTCAAATCAAGCAGCTCTTCAGTTTCAGAGCTGCCTCACAGCTAGCACAGGTCACAGGGAGACTCACTGTCTGTCCATAGCCACCAGACACAGCACTGAACACCCACACACCATGTCTCAAAGGGGGATTACGAGGAGGGATGCTGGCTGCCTGGGCCAGCCCATGACTGACTGCATCAGGACTCAAGCTGGGGCCGGCTAGGGGAGAAGACCTGGGGCCTTGGGCAGGAATCAAAATCGGGAAGTATTTGCCTCTTGGAAGGGACTTAGTAGAATGAGCAGAATGGAGGCCAGAGTGAGGATTCAGGCCTTGGGAGATGAGATACTATCTCTGGTATTGTCACAAAGAAATGACCCAAAGAACCACTAGATGTTGAAGTGGGGAAAAGACCATTTTGGAGGATGACTACAATTCTATTAGTTTCAAGAAACTTAGAACTAGAAGGAATATCTTCACTGGGAAGCTGATTTCATTGCTCCGCCAAGATCTTCTCAACCTCTCAAGCCGGTGGCCCTTCGGAGCGAATGCCAATAGATTGGCATCGGGGCTTAGAAACAACTTGGGGTTTAGAGATTACATGGTGTTCTTCGAGGGGAGCTGGGTGGAAAGCCCGGATGACAAGGCCTCTTGAGAGAAGATAGTTCCCAACATGCCCTCCCACCTTTCGATAAAATGCCAGTGATCTTGGAGGAAGCCCCCAATTCTTGTCATTTTCCTTCCCAGCAACCCAGTGACTGGGGCGGGCAGGCGGGCTGTGTGATGTATCTATGGAGCAGAACCAATTTAAATATAAAATTTCAACTCAAGGAACACGTTGCTTAGAAAAATTCTCATGTTGAGAAAACAGTGGGGGAGTTGTCAATGAAGTTTCGGGAATTTCTACGCTTGGGTGTTACTAAGAGTGAATGCAGAAAGGGAGGCGTCCTGAGATGGTGCCGGCCCGCCTTGAGGGCTTCAAGAAGCTGCACCTCACACAGAGAATGCTTGAGTGGAACATCAAGTTTCGGCACAGTGGCACATCTTGGAAGACCCAAGTGCAGGGCAGATGACCCAGAGAAGGTTATTTTTCATGACCAGGGAGGCCCTTGGAGGGACCAGTTGGTCTCAGGCATGGGAAACCACACAGTTGTGGCCCAGAATTAGTTAATTTGCATGTCTCTTCCTCCATCTGGTGGCAACCGATGGTACTACAACCTATGCTGCAGCCAAGCCTGGCTATTGAGGTATATAGTAAACATGCTTCGGATCTGGAAAACTCCCTGTAAAAGTCATTCTGAGTTCCTGAAGAAATCCCCAAATCTTTGAATTGTAATTCAAGACTACACTCCCCTCATTTTCTTCTGCTAAATTTCCTTTAAAATGAAAGCACCATGAGAGCTTATTTAAAAAGCAAGATTCTCTATTGAGAAGTTGAAAGGGCCTTTTCCACAATTGGAGCCGAAACTAGCTTGCTCAGGGAAATCCCCTTCCTCTGCTATTTCCAAATCCCTTCGGGAGCCAACCTGCTCATGTTTCTCTGCTTCTCAGTTTCATTACAACCTGCAGTCAGGGCCGGGGGCCCTGTGTAGCACAGTGTCAGGGCGCTTGCCTACCACGGGAGAGGCCCTGGACTCAGTTGTCGAGCTCCACAAAACAAAATGAACAAATAAATCCTCCACCTCCAAAGACACCAGAACAAATGAACAAAAACCACCTGGAGGCAGAGATGGCGGCTTCTCCTAAGTACTTAGAAGGTGTATGAGCCCTGCTCTGATCTTCAGAGTACTTAGTGCAGTGTGGTATTTCTTCCCAAGTGGGCCTCCAGAGCACAGACAGACGTCTGAGCCAACGCTGATAGCATGTTGCCTGCAGGAGAGCCTGCTGCCTTCCACAGACCCCTCCCATCTTGCTCACAGAATCAGGTTCACAAGTGGCTTCGGAAACAGTGTGATAGGGACACAGACTTCCAACTCCGACAAACAAAAGGGGGTGCAAACATTGCTGCCCACTCCCCTCATGTGCCACGGCAAGAAGGGTGCATCCTGTCACTTCATACATCTCACCCTGGAGATTTTCAGTACCGATGAAAAAGTGACATCCCCACCCCCGGGGACCTGGTAGTAGAAGAGGAAACACATGGCTTAGAATTGAAAAGATGGTAACACATGGTATACTCCTGCTACCCAAGGCTGGCTTCCATAAATCTCTGCTTTACTCCCATAGAAGCTAAGAGTATTATTATTAGGGTTCAAGATTTAGAACAACTGAGAAAGTCAGTTTTCCAAAAAGTTTTTTTAAAAGAAAGAAAGAAAGAAAGAAAGAAAGAAAGAAAGAAAGAAAGAAAGAAAGAAAGAAAGAGAAAGGAAAAAGAAAATTCCCGAATGTGTTTGGATCCAAGAAGATCAAGAGATAATCACTCACATCACCCTTGAGTCTCTCTACCGTGATGTTAACTCAGCAGGCAAGAGCATGTGTCTCCCCTCAGCTTGCAGGCAGGAGAGAGAGAGAGAGTGTGAGAGAGAGAGAAAGAGAGAGAGAGAGAGAGAGAGAGAGAGAGAGAGAGAGAGAGAGAGAGCTGCCTCGCCAGGGCTG